TAGGTATTTTGTCATTTACTTTTCTATAGTTTGAAATTATGATAAGGATAGAGGAGGAGAACTTAGTTGGAGCTTTGAGCAACTTTTGTTAGAGAAAATGAGACCTGTTCTTTTAACATTTTATTAATGTCCTACACAAGGTTTTGTGCTCTGTATTGAAGGATTTTTTCTTTTCTTATGGGAACTTTGAAGCTGATGATTCTATCAGGAAGAATAAGCCCCAGTTTTTCACTTTCCCAGCTTAATTCATTTCTTTCCATCAGCCATTTCTACCCCATGCAATTACCCTCCTTTTCTCCACTGGGGCACATACATGGGTATTATTTCGCAACCGGGAAAGGAAATGATTGATGTTTAGTCTATTTCTCTACAAAACTGGGGTATTAAAGAATATTCCCCAGCATTATTTCAACTTAGCAGCTCTACCTCCGGGGGATGGAGACAAAATAGTAGATCTCACCGAACCATGTCAGAACCTTCTCTTTCCTTTCTTAACCAATACCTTCTGAAATTTATGGCCAAGGTGATATTCGTGATATTCCTCTTTCCTTGTTTGACTGCTGTCAGTGAGTGTTCTCTTGTGTGTGTGTTTTTTAAACAGTTGTTTTTCTTTTTACAGTTTTCAGCTTTTCCTGCTATCTGTACCCAGGAGTTCCAGTGCCAGGCATGTTCAGTATGAGGCATAGGTTGCCTTGGACCACAGTTATTCCCCTAGTGCTAAAACCAGTCCAGCAGCAGCTGAGTGACCAGCTGTCAGTGTTATAGAAAAGATTCCTGATTAAGATTAATGTTGTAGCCCAGCCTGTGTTGTTCAGGAGTTGAGCATCGACCTAGGAACCAGGAGGTCATGGTTCAATTCTTGGTGAGGACACATGCCTGGGTTGTGGACTCGATCCCCTGTGTGGGGTATGCAGGAGGCAGCCAATCAGTGATTCTCTGTCATCATTGATGTTTCTATCTCTTTTTGCTTCTCCCTTCCTCTCTGAAATCAATAAAAAATCTTTAAAAAAGATGACTGTTGTACTAGGTAGCCTCTAAATCACTCCAAACTCTTCAACTTTTTTATTTACATTCACTAGGGCTTTACCCCTTTATACCAAGGCTTGTAGAATACAGATTTTATCATTTAGTTACATATGAGGTTATTTTAGGTAGTATTTTGCACCATAATTTCTCCTTTTTAATGTGTTAGGTGCATTCTGGAACTTCTGGAATTTGTTTCTGGTTTTAGAATTTCTGACATTGAGGTGTATCATTGGAATGTGTTGGTCTATGTGTTGTGTACTGAGAATTAATGACTTATTTTATCCCCTTTGTCTTTTTCTTTATAAGATTATTAAAAGGCATTCAGGTTGTATTTGCTAGTGCTAATTTATTGTAAAACAGCTACCAGGACTTAAATATATATTCCAAGCCCCCCAGCAGCTTGGATATCTAGCAGTTCCCACTTGGTCTTTCTCTGGGCCTGGAATGTGCTCCTGCCATTGGCACTCCCGTGAAGCCTTCATTGGAGTGGGAACATCATCATCATCAGACTGCAGAATGATTTAGTCTGGGATAGAGAGCTGTGCTTGCAGGGATTTCAGAACTCCAACACTTTACTCTTGAACCTCGCTTTCAGAGTGTGTGATGGGTTCCATAGTAGATGGCACAGGACTCTTATCCATCTTCTATTTGACCTACAAAAAGGGCAATTACATGTGAGTCAACCTAGTAGTTTCTAGACAATAAAGCCATTTTCTCACCCAAACCCCAACCACCATGCCATCAAGCTCAGTAACTCAAGGGACTGCCAGATGCTAGCAGATGCTTGCAAGTGATGGCTGATCACTTTCCTTGTCCCTGGAAGACATGCCAGTCTGTTTTAGTACCTGTAGAGTGTGCACTACACATACAATTACCTGGCCCACCGCTCAGTGCTTTTGGATTAGGGAACTTGAAGCTTTTCCTCCTGTATTACATGGATATCTTTAGCCAGCATTCATTAAGCAGGTTCCTTGGTGATGGTGCGTCATATTTCCCCTGTAGTACATATTATAGATTTTGGACCACCTTGACTTAGAGACCACATTGACCACTCAACATCCATCCTTGTGGATGCTGTGTACTTTTACATCCTCTACATTTTCTGTGATTTACCACCTCCTGGTCACCACTACCTCCATTAGAAATTGTTGTCGGTCAACCAAAAGTGGTATAGTCCAAGGTAAGGAGGTTATGCTACTTTCTGTTTACCCTTCAGATGTGCCCATAAGTAAAGGACCAAACTGGAAAATCCAAGAATCCTTTTACCATTTTCTTACCTGAAAGGGGCTAGGAACAAGTGAAACCTTGAATTTAATCATAGATCCACCTTCATCATGGCATTTGTGATTATAAATCTATCATCAAAATGTTTCCAGACATTTGGGTTTTTCTCCTGGACTCTACCAGTTATCAGAAGACACACCTGCCAGAGGGTACTGACAGTGAAGAAACCTAGGCAAAGATCAGAAAGGGTTCATAACATCTAGAAGTTGGCCAAGCAGTGTTGGATCAAGCAGGCAAGCCTGACTATTTCACTTTAAAAGACTCCAGCCACTTTGAGATTTATTCATTAGCATCCCTGAGCAACATGTCATAACAAAATAACAAACAAATAATTTATGAACGTTTATGTTTAGGTTTGAAATTCCATTATCTATTTCATTTGCTCCTGATTTTTTAGAATGAATTCAAATTTGAATATGGGCAGGGTCATTGATCAGTCTATCAGAAAGAACTCTAAATGACTCAGAAAGTTACTCTGAAAATGCATTATTCCCAGAGCCTGGAGCAAGGTGGCACCATTACTAACAACCTCACAGTGATTTCTGGTCATGTGTCTTTTCTTGGGGGGAAAAATTCTTCTGCCTTAATTATAGGTCAATTGTTACTTTTCCCTAGAGTATTGTAAAATGTTTTGCTATCAATTTTAAATCATACCCATTCTCATGGGTTTTCTGAGGCGTTTGAGATCTCAGTGGGACTTTCCACCTCCTTCTCTTTCCTTTCAGTGTATTACATACTTAAATGATTTTCAGTAAAATTTATAATTTTGTTATAATGATGCTTGATAACATAATGCTGAGTAAAAATAATGTCCAAGAACTAAAAATATCCTAACTCCATAATTCATACACTTGGCTGCCTGAAAAAAGTACAGTAATATAAATACCTTTTTAAATTCTCTCATTTGTTGTGATTAATATTGTAGTTGTATGAACCATAGGATAAAACATGTCAATTTATTTTATTTTTTACATATTTTTATTGATTTCAGAGAGGCAGGGAGAGGGAGATAGAAACATCAATGATGAGAGAGAATCATTGATTGGCTGCCTCCTGCACGTCTCACACTGGGGATCGAGTCTGTAACCTGAGCATGTGCCCTTGACCGGAATCAAACCCGGGACCCTTCAGTCTTCAGGCCAATGCTATATCCACTGAGCAAAACCAGCTAGGGCTCAATTTATTTTAAATAATCAAAGAAACATTTCTTTACTACTTGATAATAGTGTTTAAAGAAAAAAGTGCCAGAAGTAGAATAATACTGAAGATTCCTACATTTTAAATAAACAAAAATTCACTAGAATGCATCTTTATTCTCAGATACAAAATAAATTTTTTCATATTTTATACATTGTTTTGTTCTGATAAGTGTATATATTCAAGAATTTGAATACTGTTCTTTCTTCTAAATAGCATAATTTATGAGTGGTCAGAAATTTATGGTTGATTTTTCAGTTCTCTAAGAAAGATCATTATCAGAAAAAAATTTGAAACCTGTTGTTTAAATTAAAAGCAAATTTAATTTGTGTTTTGAGTCTTAATTTGCAAGTAGAGGATGAGACTTCTAAATCTTAAAGGAAAATAACTTCTGAAATTGAGTGCAGCATGCGTGCCTGGAGAAATGAATGCTATAGCTTTAAGATATGGTAGTCTGGTGATTCATTGCACGAAACAAGATCGGTTTGGAGCAGGCTCCTACTGTTAGCTTTTTGAAGATGGATTCTCACGCCGAAAATAACACAACATATTCTAGATAACAGCAGTTTTTTCCACTGAAATCCACCAAAACTGAAGAAAAATCCAAGTGACTGTTCTTAGCAGCTGTGTGGCCTGGAGTTCACTGGGGAAGCTGGCTTCCTGCAGTCCCCTATTCATCACCTGCTTCAAAGACAGCCTGGCTGGCTATAGTTTGCAGGCCAGGTAGGGTGCCATTGTGCACAGTCTGGGAGGATTAGTATCAAAGCTGCGGCAACCAGGCCCTTGGTCTCCGGCTGCCATTCAGTCTTGCAGGGAGAGGCTCAGACTGGCCAAGGTCACAGTCTCCAGTGTGGAGTGGACTGGGAAAGGATCCTGAGAATAGAATGCTTTTTATGAAATCATGGCGCAAGCTTGCAGCACAGCAGGTGCCCTTCTGGAACACATAACATCTGTTTATGTTGGTATACCGTAGCTGACAATGAGATAATAGAGCTTTGAAATTTATCATTTTATTTTTAAAAAGACAACTGTATATGCAATAATCCAGATGCGTATTTAGCTCCGATCTTTTATTTAAAAATCATAAAGAAAACGGACCGATTTAATTGCTGCTCATACGCTTATATATTTAAGCAAAAAGCAAAGCATACGGACTATTAACCATTTATAACCATTGCTGATCAGTAATACCCAAATTCATGGGGAGGAAATACCTAGCATTCAACATAATTTTTTTTTCAATATTCAGGCATTTGTGTCAACAGATTGCAGAAGGATTTACTGAATATGACCAAGTGTCTTGAATATTAGGAGATTTGGGTAAACCTTCCCCACTCCCCCCCAAAAAATGAGAGTATTCAAGGGTGAGGTAATAATGACGCAAAAATAAAATTTTGAACTTGGTCAAATTAGGGAAAAATTAAGCTGTCCATGAGTTGTCATGACGACAAGGATGTTCTGTTGATGAACTGTCCTCCTCATTGTCCAATCAGATAGTAGAGCTGAAGCTGGAGCATGAACAGGAGAAGACGCACCTATTACAGCAGCATAACGCAGAGAAGGATAGCCTAGTCCGAGACCATGAACGGGACATTGAAAACCTGGAAAAACAGCTTCGCGCTGCCAATATGGAGCACGAAAATCAAATTCAAGAGTTCAAGAAACGAGATTCACAGGTAATTACCAATAATATTTGATAAAACGGGCATCTTTTTAAAAAGTCATCAGCGTTTCATGTTTTCTTATTATTCTTGTTGACGCACGCTGTTTGATCATTTGCAAAACTGACATATAAATGTGATTTTTTTTTGTTTTCTTCCCTCCACCCCCCCCCTCTTGTTTTAAGGATGAATAAGGCTTTAACTACAGAAACCACAGGTAGCCAGATTAAAAATCCCATGGTGTGCTATAACTTGGCCCCTTTTTTATAATCTTGTCTCAGTTCCTTTCATGATGGATTTTTTAAAGGTATCTGCCCCTTACCCCTCCCCTCAGCCTTAGCAAATCCCTATGAAATATATCAGCCTCACTCCTTGCTTTTTGTTTTAATCTCTGTAGGTAATCAAGCAGCTGTTTTAATATTTGCTTTTGCTTCCTAGTGTTGCTTTTTTTCCCATTAGACTCTATATTTGATTAGATCACTCAGATGGTAATTGATAAAAATGACTCCAGTGAAAGGCTATTTCCCATCAGGTCTGTTGCTTTTTCCTTCGTGCACATACACATGCCTCCTAGCCTCCATCTCTGTCGTCCCTGTTGGAAGCCATTTGGCAGAATAACCCCCAGCTGTGGTAGCATTTGACTCTTCAAACTTACGGATGAAATGTGCACTGTCAGCATGAAAAATTATCTTTATAAATTTCAGATGAAAAAAATTCTTACTGGGCGTGTATCTTTGTCGTGCAATACATTCTATAGGGTATACAGGGTGGGGCAAAAGTAGGTTTACAGTAGTTTGTATGGGAAATAACACAGTAATTAATAAATAATAATATAAGAATAAATTGTGTTTTGTGTACTCATAACTAGAAACCTACTTGTGCCCCACCCTGTATATAATCAAAGGCCTTTAGTGTATCCTCTTGAGGTGATTGCTGTGAAATTTTATTGAAGAAAAATTGAAGAGCAATTGATAACAATAAAGAGATCATTTTATTTTCTAATACAACCATACAATATACTAAGCTGAAATAGCTCTTTTCCCATTAAAATCTAACCATATTATCCATACCACACATAAGCTTCTTCCTAGTTATTCTTCCTCCCCAAATAATATAATTTTTGAACAATGATGTAAACCTTCCATTTGTTTTAATATGTGTTTATACAAATTTATAATTATCTAAACATGAAAATACAACTGATTAAACATGTTAATTTCTTGAATGGAGGGTGGGAAGCAGTAAAGCAAAGAATGGGAGTTATTGGTTATTTTTCATTTGACCTTGAGTCTTTTACTTTCGGATAATGACTGGGCAATATAGATATACTCAGCACAGCCTTTTTTGTGTGTCAGTAATCTACATTTACATGAAAATTATTTTCAACTTGTTCTATGGGGTTTGCTGACTAAATATGTAGTCATTATAGTAGCCAGAGTACGAGAATACTCAGGCAGTTCCTAGGAAATCAATGGATATTATATTTCTGCCACCAGCCAATTACAGCTTTTATAAAATCTATGCTGATATTTTTGTTGTTAGCCATACAATTTGTTAAGAATATTTTCAAAATTCATTTCTCCTTCAGAGATGATACTAAGTCTACCATTGTCTTGTGTGATGTTAGAGTTGTGAGTCAGTGTGGTGCCTGTGTGCCAAGTAAAATTGAATAATTGATACAATAAAATCCATTAATTTATATCACTTACTACTATTTTAGTGGTGTTGTAGAAAGCCAACACAAGTGGCAGCCAAATTTAGTGGAAATCTTTGTGACTTTGGCATATGTCGTATCTGCCATGTATAGGGTGCGGTCCATCCAATGGTAACAAAAGGGAAATTTTAGAATTGTCCCGTATAATTAAGGGACAGTATAATAAGGTTATTAATTGAATTTCTTCTAATTGAAATATTAAGTATGAGGACCATGTGACTTCTTCAAATGCTATATTATTCATAGGATTATGTTTCTCATATTTTGCGTCTTTCTTGAAACAATTGGAATTGCTGTCCTGGGAATGCTAAGAAGCAATGGAAACGGGCTAAATGCATTCTTGATCAAAATGAAAAGGATTACTATATAATATAAGTTACATAATTAGTTAATTTTAGAGAATATGTTTTTTAAAAACTTTATCAATGTTATATTTTTAAAAATCTTATCATATATGCCAAAATGATAATGCTTTGCAATTATTTTTGGTTATTCTTTGAGGCTATTGTTTCAAAGTTTCCTTCAGATAAGTCCTAAATTTCCCAAATATATCTTGTCATGATTGTGCTCTAAATAATCTCATGTATAATGCCTTTTCAGTCCTGAATTCCATTCCTAGATCTCAAAAAGACAAGGTGGGCATATATTTTTTAAAATAGATCTTTTTTCAAGTCACTATTTTGTGGTTTGATGCAGAACAAACACAGGTGTCTTAAATATTGGATTGTCTGATTTTTAATTTTGGTTCCAGAGAGATTTGATTTTCAGTTCACGTTTGGCTGCTTCCGTTAACAATGGAGGCCATTTTGTAGAAAGGACTAGTTGAAATACTGAACCACAGAGGACCCGTGGAATAGCTACGTGGATACTATGGCTTTGTTTGCTGCTTTTCTTCCATCAGGTTGTTGAGTACATACAGTATATGAAAAATTGTATACTAAATATATGGTATACTTTTGGCCTTTCTAAAGGTTTGATATATTGCATATTGATAATCAAATCATTATTATAAAGTATAGTTACCTACCATACGGTGAATCATATATATCAACTAAGAAGTGCTTTTTGGTGAATACGCTATATATAGGTTGGTTGTTATTCAAGTAATTTCTGTTATAAAGAAATGATAAGATATAATAATGCAACTAAGGGCAATTAACCATTCCCTTCATTTTATTTGGTGCATTTAGCTAATTATTCTATGCATATATTATATTTATGTCATATACCTTTATTTTCACTGCTGTGATTTGCTGAAATGCACATTAATTTACCACCCTCATGTTTAGTCTGATATCTACTTAAGGTCATAATGTTTAAGAAAAAGCATCTAGATCAGTAGATATCAACACAGAAATTCATGTCAGTTTCTCATTTGTCAGATCCCTCTTTTTGAAATTATTTTGAAGAAGTATTGGATTGATCCAATCATGTTTTTAATACAACGAGAACTTATTTTTTTTAATTAAGATTCTTCTAGGAAACTTCTAACATGATAGTACTGCATGTAATTCTTGCTTTGCTACTGAACTGCAATGTAATAAAAGAATTTCTACAATTTACCCCTTTGAATTAGAAGAAAAACAGAACATAGGTTCCTTGATCCCTTCATTGTTCTTTTAGGACCCTGAACCATTTAGAGAATGCTTGATCTTTTATGTTTGTTGCCAAAGTGTCTGAGACTGTTACAGAGAACCTTTGTGATTCGCCCCAGAGGTGGTGTCACCATCTTAGGACAGCTGTCTAAGAGGTACAGACAAATCGAGGAGTCAGGGGACCACAGCTGCCAATGTGAACCACCATCAGTATAATGCAGATGAGGTACAACAGACTTGAAGGTTATAGTGACATCTGAATATATAGATTTTGTATCTAGTAAAAGGGGTCCTGCCAGACATTGGCATCTCAATGCCTTTGTGGATTCCCTAAATTGAGAATTATGATTCTAAGAGGAACAACTTTTACAAAATAGTGAACAGATCACCTTGATTTTGCCATATTGGTTCACAGTAAAGTGGCTGCACCTATTACTGATTCTAAAATGTGGTGTTTTCAGAAAAGCTTTTCTTCCTCTCTTCTGTTTACCAAAAAGTTTTTCAAAAAAGTGAAAACCATTTTAATTTTTAAAATTATATCTCAATAATATTATTTCACATGAATTTGGGAATCTGGGTACAAGATCAAAGTCTCCATTAATGAACTGAGTGTGGGTGTGTGCAGTGGATTAACACTAGCTATTATTCTTTCAAGATTGCCTAAGGATGAATCTAACAAGATGGATGTTCTGAACACTGGGCTTTTTGGGGGAAGCATTTTTCTATTGAAAATACTTGATTTTAATTTCTTTATATGCCAGCTACTTTCAAAAAGTATTTGAGAGGCAGCATTTTATGATAAATACATGCTTAGACAGGTAAAATATAATTGAAATAATTAAGCAATAAATGATATTAACCACATCAGAAAATCCATACTTAAAAAAAATTCTTCAGTTAAGTACAAGTTTGAGCTCTGAGCTTGACTAGAAGCCATAGCAAAAAGGAAAACATGATGAATTGTGTGATTCTAATTATCTACTGAAAAAAATCATACCAGTTCATGTTTTTCTTTTCCTAGCTCTCAATTTAGAGAGAAATTTTTGATATGGGACTTAAAATAAAGGACACTGACTAATATAACTGATTATGTTCTCTATGTGTTAAAACATTTGGAAATAAAACCTGGTAGGATAACCTTAGGTTCTTTAATTACTTTCAAAAATATAATTATTAGGTTTTATTTTTATATGCCAAACTTTTACTTTAATTTATTGAGAATTCAGTTATTCTCAACATCAAACAACAGCTACTTTGAAAGATCCAATTTTGTAGATACTTAAATCAAAAGAAAGCATATTTTAAGTCACAAGCCTAGCAAACTCTAGCACTATTATTATGTTACTTCCAGAAACCCTTACAAAATGTCTGGAGGAAGAAAAAACTAGGAACATGGCTGAGCTTGGAAATGGTTTAAAAGTTAATGCCCTGATGTTAATTTCCCAGTGTGTTAGTACTCTCTCTCTCTTATCTCTGATTCTCTTGTCCTCTGGATTGATAATATGGAAAACTATATGAAATAATAAAATCAAGTGGTAATTTGGTCCAGGAGTGTAGAATATTTGTACCAGTACTGAAATGGTTCACATCCTACCTACATAACCAAAATAGTATTTCATCATCAATATTTACTCACTAATAGCATTTGTTTGGTTTTGAGGTAGTAAATATTTTTATTTCTTGGGGTCAAACTGGACTGATTGCTT